TTCCATGTGTGCTTGGGAAGAACATATATTCTCCTGTTGTTGGATGCAGTGTTCTATAGATGTCAGGTCAAGTTGGTTGACAGTGTTATCCTCCACATCTTGATGGTTTTCTGTTTAGCTTTTCTATTATTGATTTTTGAATTGTCTATTTTCCTCCTATATTCTCTCAATTTTTGCTTCATATATTTTTGGACTCTGTTGTTAGGTGGTTGCATAAATGTTTATAATCATCATATCTTCCTGTTGAATTGACCTTTTCATCCTTATAAAAAGTGCCTCTTTATTAACCTCTATTTTGTTTATTGTCTGTATGGCTCCTTCAGTTCTCTTACGGTTATTCATGGTATATTTTTTTCCATCCTTTTACTTTTTTCTCCATTAAAAAGTTGTAAAAAGGGGTGCCTGGCAGTCGGTTAAGCATCTGCCTTCGGCTCAGGTCATGATTCCAGGGATCTGGGGTCGAGTCCTACATCGGACTCCTTGCTCAGCGGGGACTTGCTTCTCCCTCTGCCTGCTGTTCCCCCTGCTTGTGCGTGCTCTCTCTCTGTCAAATAAATAAATAAAATCTTTTTTAAAAATTGTAATAAAATTACTCATAACATAAAATTTATCATCTTAACTATTTTTAAATGTACGCTTCACTGGTATTAAATATATATATAATGTGTGACCATCACCACCATCCATCTGTATAATTCTTTTGATCTTGTAAAGCTGAAACTCTGTACCTATTAAATAGTAACTCCTCTGCCTCCTTCCCCCAGCGTCTACCAACCACCATTCTACTTTCCATCTCTATTGACTATATTGACTATATTGACTACTCTAAGCACCTCAGAAAAATGGAATTATACAGTATTTGTCTTTTTGTGACTGGCTTATTTCACTTAGCATAATATTCTCATGGTGCATCCATATTGTAGCATATTTGTGAATTTCCTTTCTTTTTAAGGCTGAGTGATATTCCATCATATGTATATAGACATTTAAGTCCTTTCCATGTTTTAGCTATTATGAATAGTTGTTATGAACATGGATATACAAATATCTCTTGAAGACTCTTTTTTTAGTTCTTTTGGGTATATACGCAGAAGTGGAATTGTTGGATCACATGGTAATTCTGTTTTTAATTTTTTTTGAGGAACTGCCATTTTGTTTTTCATGACATTGGAAATGTACCATTGTACATTCCCACCAGCAGTGCACAAGGGTTCCAGTTTCTCCATATCTTCACCAACACTTGTTACTTTGTTTGCTTTTTAAGTAGTCTCCACACTCACCATGGAGCTTGAACTCAAAACCCTGAGATTAAGACCTGTGCTGAGATCAAGAGTCTGACGCTTAGCCAACAGACCCACTCAGGCACCTCTATTTCTTTGTTTTTGGATAGTAGCTATCCTAACAGGTGTGAGGTTTTATCTCATTGAAGTTTTTATTTGTATTTCTTCATGACTGGTGATTCTGAGCACCTTTTCCTGTGTTTATTGGCCATCTGTGTATCTTTGGGAAAATGTCTACTCAAGTTTTCAGCCCATTTTTTGAATCAGGTTGTTTTTGAGTTTTAGGAATTCTTGTATATTCTGGATATTAATCCCTTATCAGGTACTTGATCTGTGATATTTTCTTCCACTATGTGGGTTGCCTTTCTTACTCTGTTAATAGTGTTTTATGATGCACAAAATTTTAAGTTTTCATGTTCATCTTGTCTAGTTTTCCTTTTGTTGCCTGTTCCTTTGGTGTCTTATCCAAGAAATCATTGCCAAATACAATGTTACAAAACTCATGTCGTATGTTTTTTCCTAAGAATTTTATTGTTTTAGGTCTTATATTAAGGTCTTTGATCCATTTTGAGCTTTTGTGTATGGGGTTAAGTTTCCAACTTTGTTCTTTTGCTTGTATATGGATACCCGGTCTATTCAGCATAATCATTTAAATCCTTTTATTTTTAACTTGTTTGCTTCTCTGATTCCAAAGTATATCTCTTATAGACAGCTATGGTTGGATTTTTTTTTTAATCCAGTAAATGTTAACTTTTTTACTATATCATTATTTTTATATCTGTCACAAATATATTTTGTTTCTTATTTACAAAAATAGACAATGGATAGATTTGCCTGTGGATTGTGGTTTCCTGACCCTTGGTCTAGAAGGATTCTGAAGGATTACTTTATTCTATGTATCTATATTCCTATTAACTTAAGGCAGTATATATATTTCTTTAGCAGAATTCAATCAGGGTGTTTGTCATTGATGCCTTTGAAGTAGTCCATAATTTACTTCAGTGAAGGGTTTTAATTGACCCATGCCCTCCTATATTCTCCTTGTCATTAAAATATGTGAGAAAATAGGCCATCTACACATAGAAGAGTTCACAGATGAGTGTCGCATCTCTTCCCCAGCCAGGCTTCTTGAGGGCTTAGACTGGTTAGTGTTTTTGGCACCGTCCACAGAGGTGCAGGAACGAAACCTCCCAAAGAGGACAAGAGGTGTCAGGAAAACAGAGTTCAGAAATCAGGGCTGTAGAGAGGCCTGGTAGTGCCTCTCTTACCTTCTATAATGTCAAGTGCTAAACCTCCTGTCAGAGCCTCATCAGAGCCTCTACAATCTGAACAGTTTTGGCTGTGTATCAGGCAGAGTACCATCTGAATAAGCACCAGCACAGTGAAGAATTTGGTCTAATGTTATTTCTTAGCAACTGGGCGAATGAACAGTCCTTTGAACAGTCCAATAATTCCATGGAACAAATCTCTTTTCCATGAAATTTCCTCTGAGTGTATGTTTTCATTAGAGTTGAGGAAAAGGAGGGGTATAGCAAATGGTTTTATTCCACCATGAAGCTTAGACTATGCTCTCAACTCCCTCGTTCCCCATCCTGTATTCCTCCTTGTCTTCTCAAACACTTCTAAAGGCCATGCGGTAGAAACACAAAGGAGATAGGCAAGTTAAATGGGTAGGTTTGAATTCTTTTAGGAGGTGGTGACTGGGAACAGAGCCTGGGACCTCCCTGATTGGGCAAGATCTGTCCCTAATCTTCAGTGTAAGGCACTTAACTTTGATAGCTGGAATGAAGCTAGGGAAGAGGCCAAAGCCATAGATTCTAGTCTTATTAGTCCCTGTAACTCACTGTGTCACCTTGACAAGCTCCTTAACCCCAAAGTTTTTTAGAACCGAGGTTGTGTAATGATGTAACTGATCTTTCCCAAATCAATATCCCTCTATCATCCAGCTTTAGTCTACCTTTCTAGTCTCATATTACACAGTTATTGAGCATTTATTATATGATGAGAACCTTTATCAAGAACTGGACAGCAGAAAAGTGGAGATGACTATTGCAAGCTTTTTTTTTTTTTTAAGATTTTATTTATTTATTTGACAGGGAGAGATCACAAGCAGGCAGAGAGGCAGGCAGAGTGGGGGGGGGAGAAGCAGGCTCCCCGCTGAGCAGAGAGCCCGATGTGGGGCTCCTTCCCAGGACCCTGAGATCATGACCCGAGCGGAAGGCAAAGGCTTAAGCCACTGAGCCACCCAGGCGCCCCGGTGAGCTTATTTTGTAGACTTGCATATTAATTGGGCAGAAGCTCTGTTTTTTTTTTTTTTTTAAAGATTTTATTTATTTATTTGACAGACAGAGATCACAAGTTGGCAGAGAGGCAGGCAGAGAGAGAGGAGGAAGCAGGCTCCCCGCTGAGCAGAGAGCCCGATGTGGGGCTTGATCCCAGGACCCTGAGATCATGACCCGAGCCGAAGGCAGAGGATTTAACCCACTGAGCCACCCAGGCACCCCAGAAGCTCTGTTTTTTATCTCTGAACTTAGCCTCGTGTGTGGCACACACACCAACTGCTCAACGAGTGTGTGTTATATGGACAGATATCCTGTTCCCGTATACTGGGAATCGGGATTCTATTAGATTCTCATTGCAACAAAACAGTTTGAAAATCTCATGAGTTACAGCCTGATTTCTCAAGGTCTCCGTTGGTTTCCTTTTCTTCCTGTGGAACCCTGAAAAATGAATTTTAGCCTACCATAACTTAAATATATGGCTTTCATGCCTGAAAGCCTATGGCAACAGAAGCTCAACATATAGTGATTAGACAAGAATTCCATAAAAACTTTCACTAAATCATAGAGGCTGTATCGGGAACTATTGAAAGCTATTAAAACTAAATAAAACAACTGAAAAAAGTAGTAGTAGTAGTAGTAGTAGTAGTAGGAAAAAAGTAGTTACACAGTGAATATGACAGTATTTTTGTACTGAAGATGATGCTGTTAAAAATTAGATGAATTTACTATTATAGTCACTACTACCTTATTTGAACTTTTAAAAGTCTCAATTTATTTAGTTATTTCAACAATTTGATCAACTTCTTCAAGGATATAGGCCTTCTATATCATAGAAGCCTGTGTCAGAGCAGTCTTTCTGGAACTTCAGAAAATTCACTGACCCTTTCATTTTAGCAATTGAATATTCAGCAGTGAAGCATTTTGAAAGATTATCTTCCTCTCACACTCCCCCAACCCCTGAAAAACATTGAGTATCTTGTGGGTGAGCTGAAGAATTTCTTCTTACCCAAAAGTGTTTGCTTTCTTTTTTGCTGGAAAATGGTGCCTGACTTAGTCATTTAGAAAAAATACCTAATTATAAAGCCAAAAGAACGCAAAGCACTGCTTATCAGTTTCTCTTAGAAAATGAGATACTGGGGTGCCTGGGTGGCTCAGTGGGTTAAGCCTCTGCCTTTGGCTCAGGTCACGATCTCAGGATCCTGGGATCGAGCCCCGCATCGGGCTCTCTGCTCAGCAGGGAGCCTGCTTCCTCCTCCCTCTCCATCTGCCTCTCTGCCTTCTTGTGATCTCTTTCTGTCAAATAAATAAATCTTTAGAAAAAGAAAGAAAGAAGGAAAATGAGATTCTGAGTGATAAGGTTACCTGTTCCACCCTACTCAATTATTCAGCTTTTTAATTGGAGAATCATTGTCTGCCCCTCCCTTTTCTATTTTAATAGGAAACCTCCATTTTAGAGGAATACAATATCAATTGGACTCAGAAGCTGGGAGCTGGAATTAGTGGTCCAGTTAGGTAAGAGACCCACGTGCAAACTATGGCAGAATTACTCTGCAAAGGGCCTTTTGACATACATCATACTTTAGAACATCAGGTGTGCCAGATTTGTGAAATAGCTTTAATTTAACAAGTGGAGGTATTTATGTAAGACTTTTCCTCATCCATTTAGAAATATATTTAAATGACTGATTCACATGATCTGTAACATAGAATCATTTATGGTATGAGACTGGGGCACCTGGGCAACTCAGTTGGTTAAGTGTTTGACTCTTGATTTTGGCTTAGGTCATGATCTCAGGGTTGTGAGATCGAGCCCTGTGTTGGGGTCACCCTAGATGTGGAGACTGCTTAAGATTCTCTCCTTCTCCCTCTGCCCCAACCCCTATTCTCCCTCTCTCTCTCTCTCATAAAGAAAGAAAAGGATATTCAGACTATGGAGCTACCATGAGAGTTTCCTTTAGCTGGCAGAGGCCATCCTTGGCCATTCCTTCCTTGGCTGTCCTCAGTTTGCTTCCACATGGCTCAGGAGCTGAGGCCTATGCCAGGAAGGTGAAATGGCTTTTCTGCCTCTCCACCTGCTAGCCCTCAGGGCAAGTTTGGATGCACCCAGATATATTCTTGATTAGAAGTACAATTCTAAAAGAACGAACTTATTAAATTAGTTTTCAGTGTAACATAGATGATTTCTGATTGAATTTTTTTCCTCCAAATCTAGAGTCTGTGTAAAGAAATCTACTCAAGAACGGTTTGCACTGAAAATTCTTTTTGATCGTCCAAAAGCTAGAAATGAGGTACGACCCTTTATTGCCTTGGTTTGCCTAAATATTTGAAGTGCCTATGAAGTATTCTTTTTACAAGTAAGGCAGCTTCCTGGAGGGAATACAGAGATGCACAAAGAATTTTATATCCACATTTACCCCTTTTTCCTATTCCTGTTATCATTACAAAGTGGTCCCAAAGGTTGTCAGTCTTTACTTCTTTGAACTACCTCTTGTTCTTTTTCAATTAATGTGGTTCTTATACCCTGAAGTATTCAGGTTTACCTCAACTTGTACTTATTGGACAAAATCCTTGAAGAGTAGAGAATGGCGACTAGTGTCTTGTAAGTGTGCTGCAGGAGGGCTGTGAGGATGTGTTTCTAGTTCTAAAAAATACACATTTGTTTTAAGTCATCTGGGTGTGGTGAAGACATACTAGTAACATGTGCAGTGGACGATGTATTCTTTTGCTTAGAGATATATGAATAATTTCTGAAACAAAATAAGTTATTTGCCAGATTTTCATTTGCTAATAAATGGGGCAGCAGAAAGTAAATCTGTTGGTGAGGTGGTATGTTTCCTCTGTTCTCTTTAAGGTACGTCTGCACATGATGTGTGCCACACACCCAAATATAGTTCAAATTATTGAAGTGTTTGCTAACAGTGTACAGTTTCCTCATGAGTCCAGCCCCAGGTAAGACCGCATGGTGGTGATCATCACATGTCCTCCTCTTTACATGTAGACCAAGGTATAGTGGGGTTTTCTTCTCTATTGTGCTGTTTTTTTCTGCCCTCCCCTTTCTCTCCCTCCCTCCTTCCTCCCTGCCTGCCTGCTTCCCTCCCTCTTTCTCTCTTCTCTTCTTTTATTTTGGAAATCTTCAAACATTTGTAAAAGCAGACAGAATTGTATAATGAATCCCCAGGTAGCCATCACCCAGCTTCAGCAGTTACCAACTCATTGCCAGTCTTGTTTCATCTCTGCCCCATCCACTCTCTGGTACCCCCTGATTATTGTGATTCCTTCCTCTTAAAAAAAAAAAAAAAAAAGGTATGTAGTGTGGAATTAAAACAGATTCTATTTCAAATTAGTGAAAGGGGACCAGATAATACTAGGCACTGGCTTAGAGTTGCTATGGCAACAAGCCCTTATTGCTTAGTCTGACATTCTTTTTAAAGGAAGAAATCAACATTATTCTTTTAGCCGCCAAATGTTTGGCAAGCCCACTGGGTGGCATTCTGAGTGTCTTCCAGGGAATTCAAAGTTAAATAAGGTATGATTTCTACTGGGGACCGAGATATAAACCTATCATCATAGCAATGTAATAGGCACCAAGAAGAGGCCTCCATAAGATATTTTGAGCTTATAAAGGAGAAGAGAGCTGCTGTGACTATAGGCTGGGGAGGTGAGGTATCTCACAGAGTGTATATGTCGTGGCTAGGACTTGAAGGGCGTGGGTAGGAGTCTTCCAGGTGGAGAAAGAAGATGGATTTGTAAAAACAAATGGGAAATTATAACTATGTCTCACAACTGTGCTCTGTTGGTGAAAGCATTTGGATAGAAGCTGGATGCATTTATATCAAAGAATGAATGGTAACCAGAGTTCCGATTTCTTTTTTTTTTTTTTTTTTTTTTACAACATGAGAATTTTTGCTTTTCTTTAGTACCTGTGTAACCCTGTCCAGCAGCTGTCTTGCTGGGTATGCTGTGGGTCACATGGAAAACTAGCATAGTGGGGAGAAGGAGTGTAGAGAGACACACATAGACAGAGACACAGACACAGAATGAGAGTGAATAACCAGGGTAGCCCAACACCAGCCAAGTTGAAATTCATGTCCTACACAAAGTCGTATTCTATTTTCAATACTCTTTCCATCTAGGTGCCCTAAATACAATATTAAAAACATGTCACTTAAAGGATCACTCCCCCCTCCCCTTAATATCTAGTAATAACAAGTTAAGTACAGTATCTTCAAAAGGATCATTGTCTTCAGAACTTAATGATTTTACTCTCATTTTAGCTTCCTAGAAAATTTTAGGTGAAGGATATTCCTTATCTGTAGTGTGCGGTTGATAGTGACAAGGGGTCCAACTCCAAGGGGCATGGTAGGGCTAGACTTAGAAAGTAGTTGCACACTTTGTAGATGAGGTATCTTTAGGTTAGCTATTTGATGTTTCAGTTTTTTTTTTTTTTTTTAAACTTAACAAAATCAAATGCTTTCAAACAGGGCTCGACTCTTAATTGTAATGGAGATGATGGAAGGGGGAGAGCTATTTCACAGAATCAGCCAGCACCGGCACTTTACAGAGAAGCAAGCCAGCCAAGTAACAAAGCAGGCAAGTTAACCCCGGGTACCAATCAAACTGCCAACAGCGTTGGTTAACAAGCACAATTTCATTGGGGGGAATAAAAGAAAGCTTGAAGAAAAGCTCTATTTGATCTCTCATTGCCTGCTTTGTTATGTAATCAGAAAAGATGCTTTGACAGGAGAAATGTGACCCCTTATATGCCTTGGTGGGGGGGGGCTGTATTTTTAAGTGGTTGTCAATTGCTTGCCTATTATAAAACTTAAATAAACTCTGAAAGGAAGGTAATCTTTTAATTCCTGTGTAGACTGTAGATATCTTTGAGTACATAGTGTCCAAGCACTGTTGGACTTTGAGATAAATTGCTACTGATAACACCTGAAAGATTGGGATAAAAATATCTTCTGGGACAACTGTATACAAGATTTTTTTTGCTTATGAGTCACCTCATCAGATTTTAATAGAATTCTAAGGTCTTTGTAATTCTGGGTTATTCCTGATTATAGTCTCTCTATTTTGACATCACATTTTATTGCTAGAAAAATGATTTATGTCACAAATGGTACTAGGAATCTAACTGGAAATAACCTCTTGAGGAGGTGAAAAGCTAACTGCACAAGCGTTATCTTCAAGCTAAGCAAGCAAGGCAAAAAGAAGAAATCAGAGCTCAGTTTGTTCTAAATACAAAATTCTTCCAAATTTTCCATGAGCCTCAAGCATTTTTCTCTCCCTTAAAGCAAGAATTCCTATTAAAGTCTGCTCACTGGGCAGGAGCCCCTTATGGTGTTAGTGGAGGACTTGCCCTTCAGGTAGCCCATTGGCTGTGAGCCCTGTCAGTGTGCAGGAGCCTCAGGCATTTTTTTGACAACTCCTTTCTGGGAGGAAGGAGCTGATATTTGGAATGCCAAGACAATTCCATACTGAGAGTTGAAGAACAGGTAGAATTTGTTCTATTTAATTTTAACAGTTCCATCTTGTATTTTTCAAAGTTTGGAGTATTAGGATGTACTCTGAGAATCTCGTATAAAACAAAAACCCTTCCAACCCACCTACACAGGTGACATTTCATTTCAGCAAATGAGATGAGCAAACTGGACCGTCAGGTGGGAAAATACGCAGTTAGCGGCTCTCCATTTTTCTTGAAGGCAGAGCCTGGAGTTGAGCCCCCGGACAGTGCGGTTCTCGCCGGAGCCAGCTGTCAGTGCCCGCTGCCTCACTGGGGGAGCCCAGGCCTGCTGAAGACTGCCTGGCACAGAGTTTACTCTGCCGTGCTGGTTGCATCTCAGAGGAGTGGAATTGGAAGCATTTCATCCTTCCCATTTCGTACAGGATTTAACCATCAGTTTACTTGGACAAAGAAGTGTTTTACTGTTTTATTTATTTACTTATTTTGTTTAATGAAATACAGGTTGCAGCTAAACTAAGCTGAATTCATTTCTGTTTCTTGGTACCCAAAGTCTTACTTAATTTCTGCTGTAAAATTGAAAACCAACCACAGTCTGAATGGACTTAATTAAGGATTTTTTTTTTTTTTTTTAATATCCTGAGTTCGCTAAGCCAGGGGTATTAAAGAGCTATCTTTTCTAAGATATGGTTGCTCCATTATGTCCTTTTCCAGATAGCTTTGGCTCTACGGCACTGTCACTTGTTAAACATTGCTCACAGAGACCTCAAGCCTGAAAATCTGCTCTTCAAGGATAACTCGTTGGTGAGATGACTTATTTTTCTGCATTTTAGCGCTGCCACTCTCAACACCGTTTGGGAATGGGTGGGTAGGTGTAGATTCAGAGTTCTCTGAATCCATGGTGAAGAGGCTTGAAGCCAAAGTGCTTCCAGCAGCTTACTTTCCCCACTTGTTTCCTTGCTGGAGGCTCAGAGACATTCTGCTATACCCCTGGCATTGATGTTGGATGGTACTGATATGCATTTGTAAGACTTTAGGTTTTAGATATGATTTGGAGGTGCTTTGGAGAGGGGCAGGAGTCTGTAAGATGTCAAATATTACCTTGAAATATAACAGTTGTATTTGCTGTTTGTTAATGCTGTTAAGGTGTTTTTTTCTCTCCAGTCTCACCCTCTGCCCCGTGTATCATGTTCCAACAAATAAGTTGCTCTGGGAGTCTTGAAGCTGATGCTAAAAGTGAAATCGCACCCTGGATGGGAGACGATGGACCAGTAGATAGAGTCAGGGGACAGTTGGCTAAGATCTTGATTTTAGTACTGCATATACCAGTCATGAAACAAAGCCAACTGTGGGCGGGGAGAAATTCTTTACCTCTGTGATAGTAAGAAAAATTCCTCAGTCTGAATCATTTCTTCAGATGTGAGGACATGCTATTCATAGGCTTGAGAGTCAGCCAGAAACTTGTGAAAGAGAGCTCAAGGTAACCTGTCTTCCACCTGGATTTTCCACTAGTGTTTATTGAGGATTCTGGAGAAATGACTCCCATTTATTTTATTACAGGATGCCCCAGTGAAGTTGTGTGACTTTGGATTTGCCAAAATTGACCAAGGTGACTTGATGACACCCCAGTTCACCCCTTATTATGTTGCACCTCAGGTAAGCATTTGCTCTTTCTGCCACAGGATATATCACTGGGCTGTCTGTAGGCATGTTCTCTTTGACAGCACAAGCGGGCATGTATTACCCAGTGGGAAGGGGAGGGCTCAGTTTCGGAAACCAACAGTCTGCTTAATTAGGTGCAGGCATTTATTTTAAAATCAGCTTCTTTTAAAAACAAGGTAAAATTTGTGTACAATGTAATACTCCTACTTTAAGTGTAGTTTGATGACTTTTGACAAACAGATACTCTTGCATGGTCACCACCATAATCAAGGTATGAAACATTTCCATCATGTCGGGAGCTCTTATGTATCTTTGCAGTCAGTCTGCCCCAGGTGACCACTGATCTACTTTCTGTCCTTATGGCTTAGTTTTGCCTGTTGTAGAAATTCATATGAATGGAACTCATGTACCTATTATATTTTGTTTTTTTGTTTTTAGAGATTTTATTTATTTATTCGACAGAGAGACAGAGATCACAAGCAGGCAGAGGCAGGCAGAGAGAGGGGGAAGCAGGCTCTGTGCTAAGCAGAGAGCCCGATGTGGGACTCAGTCCCAGGACCCTGAGATCATGACCTGAGCCGAAGGCAGAGGCTTAACCCATTGAGCCACGCAGGCGCCCTTACCTATTGTTTTACTTCTTTTGCTCAACATGTGTTTGAAATTCATCCACGTTGCTGCATATATCACCAGTTAGTTCTTTTTTGTTGTTAAGTAGTGTTCTATTATAGAGGACTAAACCATGTTTGTTTTTCCATTCATTGACTGATGGCCATTTTGGGTTTTCTGTTTTTGGCTGTTATGAATAAAGCTGCTAGGAACGTTCATTTACAAGTTTTGGGGGACATCTTTTCCAAAATGGTTGTACCATTTTACCTATTCCCCAGTAATATATAAGAGTTCCACTTTCTTCATGTTCTTATGGTCAGTTCATGTTCGTTAGTATATATAATCTTAGTCCTTCTGGCAAGTCCATAGTATTATTTCATTATGGATTTAATTTTAACGTTTTCTTAATGGTTACTGTTCTGTATTTTTTCATGTGTTTATTAGATATTCTACTGTGAAATATGGGTACAACATTTTCTACAATAACCCATGAAGTATAGATATAAATCTTACATGCCCATTTTTGGTTTTATAATTGTGAGGTATAAGAAGTTATTATTTTCTAGATACAAGTTCTTTGTTGTGTTTATGTATTACTTTTTATTGCTGTTGTGATGAATTGCCACAAACTTAGTGCCTTAAGGAACACATTTATTTCCTCACAGTTTCAGAGGTTAGAAGTCTGAAATGGTTCAAGGTCTTGTCAGGACTGTGTTCTTCTGAAATCTCTGGGGGGAATCCATTTTCTTGCCTTTTCCAGCTTCAAGAGGCAGTTGCATTCTTTGGCTGGTGGCCTCCTTCTCCATTTCCTTACTTTCTTGGAAGATTTTATTTATTTATTTGTCAGGGAGAGAGCACAAACGGGGGGAGTGGCAGGCAGAGCGGCAAATCAAAATTGGATTTTGATCAAATCCAATTCATCCTTTTTTTTTTTTTTTTTGAGAGAGAGAGGGAAAGAGCAAAGGATGAGAGGGAGAGGGAGAATCCCAAGTAGGCTCTGTGTCCGGTATGGAGCCTGACATAGGGCTTGATCTCACAACCCTGAAATCATGACCTGAGCTGAAAATAAGATTTGGATACTTAACCGACTGAGCCACCCAGGCACCCCTCACCCACTTTTTTTTTTTTAAATGGTTGGTGATTTTGTTCCTAAGAGGTCTTTCCATACCCATGTACATGAAGATTTTTCTCATGGCTTCTTCTTCTTTTTTTTTTTTTTAAGATTTTATTTATTTATTTGACAGAGAGATCACAAGTAGGCAGAGAGGCAGGCAGAGAGAGAGGAAGGGAAGCAGGCTCCCCACTGTGCAGAGAGCCCGATGTGGGGCTCGATCCCAGGACCCTGGGATCATGACCTGAGCCGAAGGCAGTGGCTTTAACCCACTGAGCCACCCAGGCGCCCCTTCTCATTGCTTCTTATTAAAGGTTATTGTTTTTGCTTTTTTTAAAAATTAGATTTATTTATTTTACTTATTTTTTTAAAGGTTTTATTTATTTATTGGACAGAGAGAGAGAGAGAGAGAGATCAGAAGTAGGCCAGAGAGGCAGGCAGAGAGAGAGGGGGAAGCAGGCTCCCTGCTGAAAGGAGCCTGATGTAGGGTTCGATCCTAGGACCCTGAGATCATGACCTGAGCTAAAGGCAGAGGCTTAACCCACTGAGCCACCCAAGTGCCCCTATTTATTTATTTTAGAGAGAGTGTGAGTAAGCAAGGGGTGAGGGAGAGAAGCAGACTCCCCACTGAACATGGAGCCTGAGTTAGGGCGTGATCCCATGACCCTGAGACTGTGACCTGAGCAAAATCAAGAGTTGGGTACTTAACCAACTGAGCCACCCAGGTGCCTCTCCCCTCTAACCCTTTTTTAAGTAGGGTCCATGCTGGGCACAGAGCCCAACGTAGGACTTGAACTCATGACCCTGAGCTGAGATCAGGATGCTTAACCTGCTTAACCAGTTGAGCCACCCAGGTACCCCTATAGTTTTAGCCTTTACCTTTTGGACTGTAATTCATTTGAGGGGTGGTGTGTGGGTGTGTGCATGTGTGTGTGTGTATGTAAAATAAGGGTCAAGGTTTCTTTTCCTTACAGATGTCAAGTTTCCACATCATTTGTTGAAAAGAATAACCTTGTATCATTGAATTACCTTACAGTTTTGTTGAACTGAATTATCCTGAAGTTTTGTCAGAAACCAGTTGACCAGGGGTCTGGGTGGCTCAGTCAGTTAAGCATCCCACTCTTGATTTTGGCTTAGGTCATGATCTCAGGGTTATGAGATTGAGCCTTAGATCAGACTCCATGTGGAGTCTGCTTGAGACTCTCTCTCCCTCTCCTTCTGCCCCTCCCCACCTCAAATAAATAAATAAATACATACATCTTTTTTTGTTTTAAGATTTTATTTATTTATTTGTCAGAGAGAGAGAGCATAAGCAGGGGGAGTGGCAGGCAGAGGGAGATGGAGAAGCAGGTTCCCTGCTGAGCAAGGAGCCTGATGTGTGACTCCATCCCAGGACCCCAGGATCATGACCTGAGCCGAAGGCAGACGGTTAACCAACTGAGCCACCCAGGCATCCCAATAAATAAAAATCTCTTTTTTTTTTTTAAAGATTTTACTTATATGACACAGAGAGAGAGATCACAAGTAGGCAGAGAGAGGGGGAAGCAGGCTCTGTGCTGAGCAGAGAGCCTGATGCGGGGCCCGATCCAAGGACCCTGATATCATGACCTGAGCTGAAGGCAGAGGCTTAACTTAACCCACTGAGCCACCCAGGCACCCCCAATAAATAAAAATCTTAAAAAAAAAAAATCAGGGGCACCTGGGTGGCTCAGTGGATTAAGCCGCTGCCTTCGGCTCAGGTCATGATCTCAGTGTCCTGGGATCGAGCCCCGCATCAGGCTCTCTGTTCAGCAGGGAGCCTGCTTCCCCTTCTCTCTCTGCCTGACTCTCTGCCTACTTGTGATCTCTCTCTCTGTCAAATAAATAAATAAAATCTTTAAAAAAAAAAAATCAATTGACCATATAGGCGTTAGTCTATTCTATTCTGCTTATTGGCCTGTCCTTACAGCTATATCATGTGGGATCACTGTGGCTTTCTATCAAGTCTTGACCTTAGATATCAGATAGTGTAAGAAGTCCTTCAATTTTTTTCTTTTTCAAAATTGTTTTGATTATTCTGAACCCTTTATACTTTTCTATAAATTTTAGAATTCACTTCTCTATAATAGAAAATTTCTCCTGGGATTGTGATTTGAATTGTATTTAATCTGCTGATGAATTTGGAGAGAGTTGATGTCTTAACATTATTAAGGCTTTCAATCAATGAACATGGTAGATCTCTCTATTGGGTCTTTAATTTTTTTCAGAAAATTTTATATTTCTTAGTGCATAGGTTTTATACATACTTTCTTAGGTTTATTCCTGTATTTCATATTATTGGATGCTGTTGGAAATTATATTTTTAACAATTTAATTTTCCAGTTGTTGATTGTTTGTAGAAGTACAAATGCCTTTTGATTCCTTTTATCTTGATAAATTCACTTATCAATTATAGATATTTTTGTAGATTTGTTAAAATTTTCTATGTATATAAAGTCATGTTATCTGTGAATAATGACAGTTTTACTTTGCTCCTTCCAGTATGTTTGCCTTTTATTTCTTTTCCTTGTCTTACATACTGGCTGGGACCACTAGATGAATATAAGGGATTAGAGCAGACATCCTTGCCTCATTCCTGATCTTAGAAAAAAATGCTCAATCTTTTACCATTAACCATATTAACTGTTACATTTTTGTAGATGCCCTTTTTCGGGCTGAGGAAGTTTCTGTCTATTTCTAGTTTACGGAAAGGGAATGTGCTAAATTCTGTCCAGTGCTTTTTCTGCATCTGTTGGGCTGATAATATATTTTTCTTCTTTATTTTGTTAATATGAATTAATTGATTTTTAAAAACATTTTTATTTTTAAAGATTTTATTTATTTGTCAGAGGGAAAGAGAGAGAGCAAGCGTGAGCAGGGGGAGCAGCAGGCAGAGGGAAAAGCAGGCTCCCCACTGAGCAAGGAGCCTGATGCGGGACTCGATCCCAGGAATCATGGCCTGAGCCGAAGGCAGACACTTAACCGACTAAGCCACCCCGGTGCCCCACAATTTATCAATTTTTAAAAATATTTTATGGACTCAGCTATTGGTTTCCTATGTAAAAAAATCTTTGTCTCACCCAAGATCACCAAGATTTCCTCCTACAAATTTTATAGTTTTAGGTTTTACATGTATATGCATGATCCATTTTTATTTAATTTTTTAAAAAGATTTTATTTATTTATTTGACACAGAGACAGAGAGATCACAAGTAGGCAGAAAGGCAGGCAGAGAGAGAGGAGGAAGCAGGCCCCCTGCTGAGCACAGAGCCCGATGCGGGGCTCTATCCCAGGACGCTGGGTTCGTGACCTGAGCCAAAGGCAGAGGCCTAACCCACTGAGCCACCCAGGCGCCTTGCTGATTTAATTTTTATATAATATATGAGTATGGATCTAAGTTCTTTTTTTTAGCATTCGGATATCCAGTTCCAGTACCGTTTGTTGAAAAGGCTGTCTTTTCTCCATTGCATTGCTTTTGAGTCTTGTCAAAGATCAATTGAATGTGTGTTAATTTTGGATTTTCTGTTCTGATCTAGTGATCTCTTTGTCTGTCTTTACACCTTTACACCTCTAGTGATCTCTTTACACTGTCTTTACAAGTACTGTACTGTCTTGATTACTGTAACTTTATAATAACTATTGAGATAAGGTAGAGTTAGCCCTTTAGCTTAGTTCTTTTTCATAGTTGTTTTGGCTATTTTAATTTCTTTGCATTTCCATATAGACTTTTATTTTTAAGATTTTAGTTATTAGAGAGAGTGACAGAGAACGCAGGTGGAGAGGAGAGGGAGAAGCAGGCTTCGTGCTGAGCAGGAAGCCCGATGTGGGGCTCAATCCCAGGACCCTGAGATCATGACCTTAGCTGAAGGCAGATGCTTAACCAACTGAGCCACTCAGGCACCCCCTTATAAACTTTATAATCAGCAGTTAATTTCTATAAAGGAGTCTGTTGGGATTTTGACTGGGGTCGTTTTAGAGGTATGGTTCAATATGGGGACACTGACATCGAGACAATACTGAGCCTTCTAGCCCATGAGCAAGCTGTATTTCTCCATTCATTTTTGCCTATAGTTTTTCTCAGCAATATTTGTGTGGTTTTCAGTGTACAGGTGTTTCCCATCTTTGTTAGATTTATTCTATGGTCCTATTATAAATGGTATTTTCTTTTTCAGGTTTAATTAATTCGCTTTACTCTTCTTGTATAAAAACACTATGTGGTGGCCATAGCTGGAGCCTGGGTCCTCCGCATGGAGACTCTGATGTGGGTCTTTACAAGATGGTCAGTGAATTCCTGACAGGGAGACTTGGTGAACACAGTCTCTTTCCAGAGTGTTGGGGTAAGGCAGCTGTAGGTCTTGGAGATGGCAAAGTTGCCCCAGGTGCAGCCCCTGGCTGAGGTGTGGCAGTTGTCAACATCTGCCATCAGCAGCTTTGTGGGCATGGGGCAAGACCTTAGCATGGGTCTGGGCGCGAGGAGGAAGCAGACCAGTGCAGAGTTGCAGCGTCCTTGCAGTTGCAAGGAATCTGTGGGGTACACCAGTGTTGTTCCCCCAGGGTTCCCAGTCAGAGGACAGTGGAGAACTTGGCCAGGATCATGGCCCCATGAATGGCAGTGGTCACCTCCTTGAACACTTAATACCCAGAACAACGTGACTGTTATAGTCCTTGATGGCAACAAGTACCTTGAACCTGATCCACTGGCCAGCACTGGTCTGCTTTTATACAGGCATAAGGGATGTCTGTATCTCTAGGAAAAAGTCCATGACCTTGGATGCCTTGATGGGCAGGAAGAAGAGTTAAATCTCTTCCAAGGACTTGATCTTCATGTCCTTGACCTGGGCAAAAACTGATAAATTGCTGGTTTTAAGAGGTTTTTGAAAGTTTGTATTTTCTGGAGGGTCTTTTTTTTTTTTTTTTTTTAATTGTCAAAATTGCCAGTGTCTTCTCTCTTTCAGCATTCTTTTTCAACATTATTTCTCAAGTTATAGGTCATTGGCGTGGTCTTCAGTAAATTGTCCCCTTTGGTCTGACTCTGACAGGTACTGGAGGCACAGAGAAGGCACCAGAAGGAGAAATCTGGCATCATACCTACCTCGCCAACGCCCTACACTTACAACAAGGTAAGGGAAGAGATACTTTCCTGTGCCCTTCAGGTATAGCCCCTCTTCTCCTGTGAAGTGTTTGTGGTTCTTTGAGAATGAATTCTTTTTTTTTTTTAATTTAAATATTTTATTTATTTATTTGACAGAGAGACAGAGATCACAAGTAGGCAGAGAGGTCCACAGAGAGAGAGAGAGGGAAACAGACTCCCCACCGAGCAGAGAGCCCGATGCGGGGCTCGATCCCAGGACCCCGAGATCATGACCCGAGCCGAAGGCAGAGGCCCAACCCACTGAGCCACCCAGGCACCCCAATTCCTTGGGATTCTAAGGGAATTCTTATCCCTTAATATTCTTGCCCAAAGGGCCGACAGCAGCCATCCATTCAGAAAATTCCTTGGAATTCAGGGTTTTTGTCTGATGAAGTAGGAAATAAGGTTCTTAACAGTTGAGGTTTTGCAGCAGGAACCAAGGGCAATGATCACCAGTAGGTTATCTGGATAGTTGTAGTCCACTGACCACATCTAAAAGACATGGTTATCTTTTTTTTTTTTTTTTTTTTTTGAGGTGGAGGCCATTTCTGAGAACATTCCATGGCCATTTATGGTACCATTCTTCCCATAAAATACCCAACTTAGAACAGTGTCTACAGCACCCAGCAAATGTTCCTGGTCCTATAGTTCTCAGTCTGTAGCCTATACATCAAGTATCTCTGTTCTAAAACACAAGAGGATTAGGGCCTCTTAAAAGCAGGTCCTGGAGTCGCTGAGTAGATGCTTCTTGGGGACTCATGGCTGATACAGGTGACAGAGAGGGACCTGAGGGTGGTAAAAAGCAGTAGGTCGGCTCTTCTTGGGTCCCACACTTAGAGGGCCCCACATATTCCTATAGTGTGTGCATACATATACACACAAGCATACATAAGAAAGAACGCACAGGCTCCTCTTCCACTCAGGGCGCTGTGCTCCACCTGTCACTGGGACAGTGTGACCAAAAACCCTAAACTTCTGCTTTCATCAGTAACTCTGGTCAGTTCCAAAGAATTCGCTGCTCCACACCTTCTTGCCCTACAAACCCAAAACCATAGTCAGCTCTACCCTTATGCAGTGAAGGTTTGAGGGCTGTGCTGATTACGGCATCAGAGTCAGAAACTGTTTCCTGCTTCTTGATCATGCAGGAAGTGAGTGGTAGGAGCACTTAGATGACATTTAATTTACTTGCTAAAATTTGCTCAGCATGCATGCAGTGGATTCCTGTGTTATATATTATTTTCCAGTAGTATTTTTGTCTTCTTTTCCTGTTCCATTTTGTGAGCCTAATGGTGCTCATGAATTAGCATGGCGTTCATAAAAATTACACACTGCAGATGAGTAGCATGTTGGAATAATAAACAGCTCATATTACTTTCGAATGTGTATATGTGTTAGTTAAGAGATAGTCCTCTTTATATTGGCAACTAAATGAAAACTGAATGCTACATTTGCAAATAATTTTTTAACAAATATGTAATCGGATGTAATCAAATTTTTAGAAATTAAATAACTCTAGCAATCTTAATTTAAAAAAAAAGTAGTATCAGTTTTTCATGTGGAAAGTGAGGGATTTGAACTATTTTTTTAAAGATTTTATTTATTAGAGAGCGAGCGAGCACAAGTAAGTAGAGCGACAGGCAGAGGGAGAGAGAGAAGCAGGCTCCCCACTGAGCAAGAAGCCTGATGTGGGGCTCAATCCCAGGACTCTGGGCTCATAACCAGAACCAAATACAGATTCTTAATTCACTGAGCCACCCAGATGCCCCAGTTTGAACTATTTTTAAGATTCCTTTCACCTCTATAATTTTTTAAGATTTCATTTATTTACTTGAGAGAAAGCATGAGCAGGGTGAGGGCTCAGAGGGATAAGCAGACTCCCTGCTGAGCAGGACCCTGGGATCATGACCTGAACCGAAGGCAGACACTTAACCAGCTGAGCCACCCAGGCACCTCACCTCTATGATTTTGTAATTATGTTCTGTGGCATGGGTTGCATCATCTACAAATATCCATTAGTATTAGGCAAAAACATGGGTTAGAGTATCTATGGTAGAGAGAAAGGTTGGTTCCCTTAAGACTTGAAACTTTTCTATTCTTTGTTAATTGATTTTTGGAGATAGCAGCCTGTGTAAGGGGCTGTTTCTGGGCTGGTCCTTTATTTTGGGGCCATGCCTCTGCTGTAAGTGACTATTTTAATTTTCTTTTCAGAGCTGTGACTTGTGGTCCCTAGGGGTGATTATCTACGTGATGTTGTGCGGATACCCTCCTTTTTACTCCAAACACCACAGCCGGACTATCCCAAAGGATATGCGGAGAAAGATCATGACAGGCAGTTTTGAGTTCCCAGAAGAAGAGTGGAGCCAGATTTCAGAGATGGCCAAAGATGTTGTGAGGAAGTGAGTACCCAAGCTGTGGGGCAGGGAGGCCAAGGAGGATCACAAGTGGTGGATCACAAGGGAAAAGTCATTGGTTTCCCAGGCATGCTCCTTCCCCTTGGTGCATCATAGAAATCTTATCCCTGGGGCCTGAGATGAGAGCTCTTCATGTCCACACCTTGGTGAAAATGGGAGCTTTGCTCCCTCTTGTTGCATTCTTAGAATTCGTCCCCAGGCTGTGAATCCAGATCCCTTGGAGCATTAATTTAGGATCTTAAATGGTAAGCCCCACGGTGTGCCCTTCCTGAATGTTGGCCAGTCATGTGGAACAGACATGGCGTCAGGAACTGAACTCAGGCTAAGACGACAATGACATTTTGTCTTTTCATTCCTTAGCTGCTGTGGGGAGGAGGTGGCTGATTGTGTGGGCCTCTAGCCTCCCCACTGCTAAGATAAATTTAGAAGATTCAGTGCTAGTGAGTGGTTAAGGGAGAATTGACAGAGTACTTTTGTAGCTGAAGGACTAGGTAAGAAATAAGACCTAAATTTGATGTATATTTTCTTTTCCTGCCCACCTGTGTGGGAGGCTCAGCTGCCTGGGATTTGGTATTCTTCTGGTATTCCTACTGCTTGGTGTTCACTGAGTAATTTTTCCTCTTTTTTGGTTTCAGTTTCTTCATTTGTAATACGATGAAGAAAAGCATTAAAGGGGGAGTGCCTGGGAGGTTTCTCCTGACAGTATAACCATTTCTCTATGGCGATTACTCCCTTTCAATAGAGAGCTTGTCCTATTGGTTGAAAATCTATGTATATAAAGACAGACTAGTTTCTAAAATATACAAGGAAAAGTTTTTAGGACGGTGGAGCAGTGTTTAAAGCATCACTTGTCTTCCCATGCAGTTTCCACACTGTATTCTCAGCTACTTAACCAAAACATCAATATCCTCTGAGTGGTTCTTTGTCAGTTCTATAGAATATATTTCCTGTCTGTAGAGCAGTATTATCTCCTTTCAGCTTTGGGATTCTTTTCTAAATAATCGTTTCTTCAGAATCTGAAGCTGTTTGTTCAGAATGATCTAGAAGGTTGGAGAGAACCTGAAAGAGCAAGTATGCATATTGTCCTGACTGACATTTACGATGTGAGGATGTGTAGTTGGAAGGAGGGGCTAAAAAGCCCAGGGAACATGCTCAGGTGGGCCAAGAATTGCATCAGCATGAATGGACAAGATGTGAAGAAGTAGGATCAAAAAGCAGATGGTACAGAGCAATACATTCAGCTTAGAAGGAAATGCCATCCTCTTATCAGAGACTTTAGATTTTTGGCTTTTGAATATTTCTGGAATAAAGTGTTCACGTCCTGCCATATGGTGACATCTAACAGTTTTATCACAAGTAGCAACCTGGACTTTCACAACCACATGACCCCTCAACTAATTCTGTAGCCACTGTTAGCCAAAAGAGCACTTTGAGTCCCTTTAGGAAACTGGAACCCACCGTCCTAAAAACATAGATGTGGGAGATTCAAGTCTCAGGAACTATAAGCTGTATGTAGGCTTATTGAACCTAGAACTCAGTCTGCAGTATCACTGGATTAAGCCTTATCTTAAAATTTTTATCTCACTCTGCCTAGTGTAGAAAGGACTTACCAAAGGACACAGTGCCTTCACCACTAGGGGTCAACAGATGGAAAGCCTAGGCTTGTAGGAGTTGGTAGAAAGGCAAAAGTTGGAGCTGGTTAGAACCAGACCCAGGAACTTCCTAGCCTTCTGAAAGCAACTCTGTTGGCCTTTTCTCCACAGGCTCTTGAAGGTCAAACCAGAGGAAAGACTCACCATTGAGGGAGTATTGGACCACCCGTGGCTCAACTCGACGGAGGCCTTGGATAATGTGCTACCGTCTGCTCAACTGATGATGGATAAGGTTTCGAATGTGCTTACTTTGTTCACCAAAAAGGCTGTGTTGAGAAGGAATGCTGGGACAAGGCTCAGGGAGGGGTCAAAGGCAGAGCATGCAGAGAACTCAGTCTTTCCCAGAGAGACATCCCTGCTTTCCTGAAAATCAGGATCTGAAATAAAAGCTTCTTTGCGTAAAAGACCAGATCAAGGCCCGGTAAATATACACTAAGTGAAAACTCAAATCCTCCATATTTGTGCTTTGGGGTTGGCGGGGCCACAGAGTACTATGAGACAACTTCCTTTCCCCCAAGGGGCTTAAACAAGACTGGAAAGACCAATTTATGTGAAATAAGGAGGGAACATTTCAGATATCAGAGGTTTGCATGCTACATTTTCTACAAATGCTCTGGGAATTCAGAAAAAGAGAACATCTTTGAAGGGCTGTAATTAGGGAAGGGTTCCTAAAGAGAAGGCAAAACCCCTCATATTTATTAATTACTGCATGGCAGTTTTTAACCTATTCACATTAGTTTAGTCATGAGCTGCCTTTAAAAATTTGAGTAGTCAACATACATGGCCAAATGAGCCACAGGAGCACGTGGAGCCACAGTGAGCTCTGACAGGAGCAAACAAGTACAGACCGAAGTGCATCTGTGGGGAAAACCACCTGGCTTCATTAATGGGAAGTCAGTGAAAGAGGGACTTAAGTCTTAGTAGCACATAACTGAGAGGCCACTGTCAGTTTTGGGGAAGAGATTTGCCACAGGGAAGGTATTTAGGGATGGTTAGCCAGACTTGCAGACTTGCCAACCCAAGACTTCTGCAGCAGTCGGCAAGCCTGGGACAGCTATGGGAGCAGAGAAGTAGAGACAAGGGAATAGGCTCAGTATTTTTGAAGACAAATTTCTATAATTTGGGGTGACTTACTAGATAATAGGGGGATAATGGGTATCATATCTAGTGATCTCATTGACAAATAGAGGGAAATCAGGATCGAGGCTCGTTTAGTATAAGGGAAGTCTCTTAGGTTTTATTTCTTTATTTAAAGATTTTATTTATTTATATGGCAGAGATCACAAGTAGGCATAGAGAGAGGAGGAAGCAGGCTCTCTGCTGAGCAGAGAGCCAGATGTGGAGCTTGATCCCAAGACCCTGGGATCATGACCTGAGCCAAAGGCAGAGGCTTTACCCACTGAGCCACCCAGGTGCCGCGTTTAGGTTTTAGATATTGCTTAGATGGACATGCAGATGAATGACATGTGTTGTGTGGGACCATAATGTGGTTGAAAGGTCAAGGCAGAGAAACAGCATACGTCTTACCCACTTAGAAGGGAGGGGGATTGAAGTGTGAGAAAGAGTAAGGGGATAGGAAAAAAAGAATTATTTTTTTTCCTAAAGATTTTATTTATTTATTTGAGAGAAAGAGCAGGAGGCAAGGGGCAGGGAGGGACAGAGGGAGAGGGAGAAGGACAAGTAGACTCCCCACTGAGTGGGGAGCCCGCCATGGGGCTCAATCCTAGGACCCTAAGATTGTGATCTAACCAAAGTCAGACGCTTAACCAACTAAGCCACCCAGACACCCAGGAAAAAAGAATCCTAAGACCTCCCTTAGTTTTGCTGTAGTATGGGAAAGAACTGGAAAGAGCAGAGTTCTGTGCCATCTCTGATTTGTGTATGGTTGTCTTTCTGGTTTAAATATGCCTAGTAGGGCGCCTGGGTGGCTTAATGGGTTAAGCCTCTGCCTTCAGCTCAGGTCATGATCTCAGGGTCCTGGGATCGAGCATCGGGCTGTCTGCTCAGCAGGGAGCCTGCTTCCCCCTCTCTCTCTGCATGCCTCTCTGCCTACTTGTGATCTCTGTCTATCAAATAAATAAATAAAATAAATAAAAAATAAGTAAGGTAAGTAAGTAAGTAAATAAATAAATAAATAAGCCTAGTAGCCCAGAATTGGTCTTAGCACGTGAGGGTTACCGTGTGGCTTTCCTCAAATTCTTGAAATTGAAGAAATAAGATTGCTTTCTGGAGTTACTGTAGAAATAGTATATAATGAAGCCAAATGTGGATGTGCAGAATCTTTTAAGAGTGGCCCCTAGGCCTATAAGGTGGAACTGCAAGGTGACAGTATATTCCCATTTGTAAAGGAATTAGGGGGTCATGATGTGAGTTGAAGTGTAGAAAACTAAATGTGAAGTGTAGAAAAATGGCCACATATGCAGATGTTAAATAGTGTCCATCCAAGCCTGCCTAGGAGGTGGAGCCTGAGCTCACAAACCTGAGCTATTCTCATCTCTCCGGTTGGGCCATCACTGATAAGGGGGATGTGAGGATCCAGTAGAGTATAGCCAGAGCCAGCTATTATAGTTCCTTTAAATGAGTTCAAACTCTGCCAGTTCTAATTGCATGCTTAAGAGGGAACTAACTACTTTTTAAAATTGTCAAATTTTATTGTTGAAATTAAAGTAATACAGAGGTGTATCTTTTTAAAAAGCATAAATTCCTTTTCATTCCTCTGCCTCAATCTCATCCCTCAGAGATGAGGTCATCTCTGGCTTAGTGTATCCTTCCTCATCTTTTTTTGGGGAGACACACATCTACTTAGTTTGTCCTTTTTTTAAGTATAAACATGGAATCATCTTGTTCTTAGAAAGCTTTCTGCTGATTATTTACCTTCCTTAATTGATATGCCCCTAGTAAGAGCCCGAACTGGTCATAAAGACACAGGCTTCAAAAGTTCTAGACTCCATGACAGTTATTTCTCATTGTAAAGTAATTGACTGACTTATAGATAAGGTCCTGAGGATCTTCTTGCTTATCATATGAAGCGGTTGGGGTTCTGAGCCAGCGGGGCTGAAGTGACTGTCCACACTGTGGGGGCAGTGAGTAAATGCCACTGTGGGAGGCTTCTTGGGCACAGCTTACCACCCTTTCCCTGATGTGCATGAACGCCTCTCTTTACACTTGCTCTTGCCAATGACTGTGAACACGAGTCTGTTACTATTTCTTAACTTGCATTAATATCCCTATGGCGGGAGGAAGGGCTAGCTGTTGTATGGCCCTTGGTTTGCCTGGTATTCCCTGGGCTTGCTAGTCCATGGGGAAGAATGCTCTGGCTTATCAAAATGTGTATACTGCCAGCATAACAGTGAAATTGCCTTTTTAGTTCTCGGAGCTTCTCCTTCACAGTTTCTTAGATGAGCTTTTTAGGTGTCCTGAAGTGAGCGTGAAAACTGATGACAGTGTTTGCATTCAGGCGGTGGTTGCAGGCATCCAGCAGGCTCATGCAGAACAGTTGGCCAACATGAGAATCCAGGATCTGAAAGTCAGCCTCAAACCCCTTCACTCTGTGAACAACCCCATTCTGAGGAAGAGGAAATTACTCGGGTAACTGATTATTCCGTGAATTCTCCTTCATGGCTGGTGTGACTGAGTGCAGGGTTCTGGAAGGTCAGCCAGGGGTTTGCCCTTTTGCTACCTCTTATGAGGGTGGAAAGGATAAGCCCTTTAAATAGCATCAGAAGTTGGAGACACTCTATAGTTAATTATTTATCCAAAAAATGTGCTGCCTTATGTTTAGAGTTAACTTTGTGTTTAGAGTTAACCAAACCTAGAGAGTTGGTTTTTGATGTTTCACCTTGTTATTCCCTCTCTTCCAAACTTTTAAAGCACCAAGCCAAAGGATGGTGTTTATATCCACGACCGTGAGAATGGAGCCGAGGATTCAAACGTTGCCTTGGAAAAGCTCCGAGACGTGATTGCTCAGTGTATTCTCCCCCAGGCTGGTAAAGGTCACGCCATTTATGAATGTTCTGCGTACGTGGGTGCACATGCTAGAAGGAGCAGTTTAATTTGAGGTTGTCTTCCTCATCTTTGTGTTCTAAGAGAATAAGTACATTATATAAATTATTCCGTGTCCACTAAAAAGAGACGGCAGTGGGAACTCAGAAAGGTGGTAAGTTCTGCCCCTCCTTTGGGTTTTCTGTGAAACTGCTAGTTGAAGTTTATTTATCGAGTCTGGTGCAGCATGCAGTTTTGTGTTTTCTTGGTTTGTTAATGAGGGCACAGGACAGAAGACGAAGAACAGAAAATGTGGACAGGGTCTGGATCAGCTTGTGAAGGTCAGGAAACATTTCTAGAGCCTTTAGAGTGCTAGGCTGTCATTAACTCGTGAATATAAAGAGAGTACCTCCCAGAAGTTCAGAAGTGCCCCTTGCTGCTATGTGTATCATGGCCAGACTATGACTTGTACATGTCTCCTTTTGAGCGAGAGCTTTCTTTTAGTGTAGTTTCTCCATTCAGTGGGGTATAATGGGCTCTTCTTGGCAGATGAATGAGATGCTTCAAGTAGGCAACCAGAAAACTATCTAAATTCCTTGGGTTTTCAGAGAATTCACATAGTGTACTTAGATAGCTTCCAAAGTAAGAAAAGAGCTTAGGAGAAAGAAGGTGGTCCACTCAGCCTTGTTCTCCCTTCTTCTCCTGGTTTCTTAGATTAACCATGTGTTTTTGCTCAGCAGCAGAGTCTGATTCTGCCTACTCCCCATACCCTAGTGCTAAGACCCTGGGGACATCAGAAGATTTGTGTGAGACTGTCAGAGTAGAAGAATGCAAAGCCCAGAAGTGGCCTACGTGTAATGTAGGGACAGGTAGTAACAACAGTGTCAAAAGTTTGCGCCTTTACTCATCACTTCTCAAGTTGGAGATTGTGTCCTTCCATCTCTGACACTTAAAAATCCCATGATGCCACTGGAAAACACAACTACTTCTTCATCTTTATCAATAGGAGAGAATGAAGACGAAAAGTTGAATGAAGTAATGCAGGAGGCTTGGAAGTATAACCGGGAATGCAAACTTCTAAGAGATACTCTGCAAAGCTTCAGCTGGAATGGTAGGAAAATCCTTCTTCCTTTCTTCATTGATGCAGAGAAGTGACTATGTGTAGAACATCAAGGATCTTTGGGGGCTGAGCTGGGGCTGTTTTGAGGTGAAGTGAGGCTAGAGAGTGATAGGGGTATTGTGGGATGGGGGTTAGTCCTACATTAACTGCATAGGCATATCTAGATGTCTGGCCCTTTCACTTGTTTTACAGAATTCAGATAAACAGTGTGCTGCAGATTCAACACTGCAGAGCCCCTGTCGTACACCACATTGGTACCTTATTGGGTCCCTGTCAAGAATCTCAGCTCCACACATGTGGAGACTGACTTTTTTCTTTTTTACATTTCAGGTCGTGGATTCACAGATAAAGTAGATCGACTAAAACTGGCAGAAATTGTGAAGCAAGTGATAGAAGAGCAAACCATGTCCCACGAATCCCAATAATGACAGCTTCAGACTTTGTTTTTTTAACAATTTGAAAAATTCTTCTTTAATGTATAAAGTAATTTTTATGTAAATTAATAAATCGTAATTTCATTTCCACATTATCTAAAGACGCTGTATAAATTTAGATACAGGACTTATTCATAGTATAGTTCATTTGTTTGTTTTTAAGAAAAGTTCAGTTCCTAGAGATATACTCTTACTCTAGGACTGCTTCTCATATGTTTGTAAGATGACAGGCGATATCGTCAAACAAGATTATTTTATTTGTAATAAAGTGTACAAAAACCATTTGCTGGTGGTAGACAAAGGACTGACTATACTGACCTGTCTCTTTAGTAAACAGCTGAATCAAGTACCGCGGAATCTGGTTTCACTTGCCCTGTGTATTTGCTTTCTGCACTATTGGTAGATTACCTCTGGTGCCAAAAAATTTTTGTGGATTCATACTGTAGACGGCCTGCTGGAACCCACAGGATACCAACTCCCATGACGGAAGAGGCAGGAAGCAGAGTCCTCATTTTTCTTGTCCCTAATTATTTCAAGAAAAGTGGTAACATTTCTTTTTTATTATATCTTTCAAAAGGTATCAGTGTACTTCTTAAATCTTAACGGGATTTTGAGTTTATTCTTTTCAAGCAGAACCAGAGCTTCCTTCTGTTCATCTGAGATCCCGCTCAGTCGTCTCCCCTTCCTCACGGGCCTCACCGAGCTCTGTTGCTTTTTCTTCCTTTTCTCTGTTCTCTTGGCTCTTTTTATTGGAGGAATTTTCTGAGAAAGTTACATACCGTGTAAGCTGAACTATTGGGTTAGCACCTAAGAAGAGAAAAAAACCTGATTCTGCCTACTCCCCATACCCCAGTGCTAAGACCAGGTTTTTTCTCTCAAATGTGCCATTTTACTGTCGAATTCTTTGGCCTGTGCTTCACGTGGGCATGCCCGGGCTGTATTTATTTGTTCCGTACTGTCAGTTTCAGGAAGGGGAATTCTGGCTCAGAGATCAGCTGTTTGAACAGAAAGCAAGGCCGGATGCTTTTATTGTTTTCTGTTGTGCTCATGGGCTTCCATAAACCCTTTTTCTTTGTTTGTTTGTTTATTGTAGCAGTTTTTGGTGGGTGCCTGTGTTGGTAAATAGAAGGTCTAGCAGGCAAATTGCATTTTAGGGCAGAGGAAGACGATCTGTAGGCAAGTTCTTCGCTTTCATCCCATCACATTCTCTTCGACCAAAATTGATCTCACAGAGCTCACTTACTTTTGCAACTCTTCCACTTGGCTGAGTATGTCTTCAGGATGAGATTTGGTTCGTTTGCCCCATATGTATGTGGCTGACCGGAAATGTAGGATAAAAACACAAAGTATTTTGTAAGAATTACCTTATTACATTGGGTAATGTAATAAGGTAAGTCTCCCTAATCTTAGGTGATGAATAACTGTTGTGAATGGATACCATGTAAGGAGAATTCAGTATTTTTTTTTACGATTTTATTTATTTATTTGAGGGTGGTGGGAAGCATGAGCAGGGGGAGGGGCAGAGGGAGAAGCAGACTCCCCGCTGAGTAGGGAGCCTGGAATCATGACCTGAGTGAAGGCAGATGCTTAACCAACTGAGCTACCCAGGTGCCCTGAGAATTCAATACTTTTAAACATGGCAAAATCTAACAGGCAGCAGAGGAAAACAATAGGTTTTATTTACTGACTTGAAGACTTAGCTGAGAGTTGAATTAAGTACTGAATCAAATTATTGTTTTTTAATGAAATGCAGTCTTACAAATCGCTGCAGTCAGGAAAACTCTGTACTTATTTCTAGAACAACTGAATGTTCACTTGTTTTTCTCAGGGTAGAGGTATTGGCTGGAGAGAGGAAGGCCATAGTTAGCTTTGTTACTCTTTAGAGGAAACTTCTGGTATGCCCTATCTACCATTCCCTTCTCAATTTTTTACTTGGGTGGCTTCCAAAGGCTCAGGATAACTTTTTTCCATTAGTGTGTGGTGAATTTTAAGCATGAGCTAGGACATCCAAAATAGTGCTTCTTTTTACTCAGAGAGCAGCAGTTGCCCATGTCTTAGTCTTAACAGGCTGAATTAATCTGGCCCCCAAAATAAATGCTACGTCCAGACATGTCCACACGAGAGTACCATGCTGGAAGTTTATGAATGCCCTGGAGGATGATCCAGTTGTTGTAATATAAAAGTGGGTCCTACTTGGGACTCTTGACAAAACAGTAGTCCCCAAAGGACTCTGCACTGTTTGATCTTCCAAGTGGAGTTTTATTTGTGGAGTTTGTAGGCTAGTGGCAAATCCTGCTTTATGTCAGGTTGACTAATAAGGCAAATTTCACATGTAACTGGTAGTGAAACAGAATTGTCCTCATCTCTTCCAGCCTCTAAATGCTTATACCTGCAGGGCGCCTGGGAGGCTCAGTCGGTTAAGCGTCTGCCTCCGGGTCATGATCCTAGGGTCCTAGGATCGATCCCTGCATTGGCTCCCTGCTCAGTAGGAAGCCTGCTTCTCCCTCTTCCACTCCCCCTGCTTGTGTTCCCTCTCTCGCTGTCTCTCTCTCTGTGTCAAATAAATAATAAAATCTTTAAATGCTCATACCTGTAGGAAGTCATATTGTAAGAACAACTTTTGTAGGCAGGAGGTTAGCATATTCAAGTTTTCCCACATGATTTGCTAACCCTCTGTTTAACTAAAACCATTATTTATCACTCAGATGCCTATGGACTTCACCATAGTTATAGATCTGCTTGACGTAAAACAGTTTGTATATCTTTCTGGTTAATATATTGTACGAGCATAGGAGAATACCTTTCAGAAATTTATTTTTTGAAACATAAGAGGATAGCTTTTTAGCTTTTTAACTTTTTTTTTTCTTTTAAGATTTATTTATTTGAGGGGCGCCTGGGTGGCTCAGTGGGTTGGGGCCTCTGCCTTTGGCTCGGGTCGTGGTCTCGAGGTCCTGGGATCGAGCCCCACGTTGGGCTCTCGCTTGGCAGGGAGCCTGCTTCCTCCTCTCTCTGCCTGCCTCTCTGCCTGTTTGTGATCTGTCTGTCAAATAAATAAATAAAAAGTCTTTAAAAAAAAGATTTATTTATTTGAGAGGGAAAGAGAGTGCAGGCAGGGGGAGGAACAGAGGGAGAAGGACAGCTAGACTCCATGCTCAGCCCAAGAGCTAGATCTCATGACCCTGAGATCACGACCTGAGCAGAAATCAAGAGTTAGATGCTTAACCAACTGAGTCAGCCAGGCGCCCTGCTTTTTAGTTCTTCAAAGCTAAAAATGGATATAGTTTTTAGGGGCACCTGGCTGGCTCATTTGGTGGAGCCTGCGACTCTGATCTCAGGGTTATGAGTTTGAACCCCACAATAGGCATAGAGCTTACATAAGAAATAAAAAGAAAATTAAAAAGATAGCTTTTTAAAAAGAGCTTGTTGTATTAATGTGAGAAAGAACAAATTGAAGGAATTAGTGGTTAAAGAATGCAAGTGATGATGGGACGCCTGGGTGGCTCAGTTGGTTAAGCGGCTGCCTTCGGCTCAGGTCATGATCCCAGGGTCCTGGGATCGAGTCCCACATCAGGCTCCTTGCTTGGCAGGGAACCTGCTTCTCCCTCTGCCTCTGCCTGCCTCTCGGCCTACTTGTGATCTCTCTCTCTCTTTCTCTCTCTCTCTGACAAATAAATAAAATCTTAAAAAAAAAAAAAAAGAATGCAAGTGATCTAAGTCAGATCTTGTGTGTGAATGCTTATGTGCAGTATATTTTTTTGAAGAAAATGTGTTTCAATTTGAGAATTGGAAAATTGGATATGCTTAGTTACAATTTTTATTTTAACAATAGAAGTGTTCTTTCATTATTGATTTGATTATTTTATCCTACAAAATGACTTTACCTAATTTGCCCTGCCTGTTTGTGGTTCAAATAAGGGAAATACCTTAAGTCTGATCATTTCCAAATTATATAATTTTGAGAGGCTTTCTCTTCTTACATAAAATAAAAGAAGTCCAGCTAGAAATCATTTTACCTTTTTGCTATAAATTTTTTAGTGGATTCGTGATATAACAGTGCAAGTTCTATTGCCAGATCCTAATGATAAATTTCAAAATCTGTATTAGGAATTAAATATTATTGAGTTGATCTGTTCTCCTGCTCATATCTGATATCTTATGGTATTGAACTATTCCTTTTTCTTAAATTTGATAGAGCAAGCATGAGTGGGGGGAGGGCCAGAAGCAGAAGGAGAGAGAGAATCTCAAGCAGTCTCCTCGCTGAGCAGAGCCTGATGCAGGGCTCCATCTCATGACCCTGAGAGGAGTCAGGATGCTCAACGGACTGAGCCATGCAGGTGACCCTGTACCATTCCTTTTTGAATTGGGGCATATCCCCATTTTTTAGTGCTACTTGTAGTCACAACCTTTATTTTAAAGGTTTTATGTTGTAAATATTTGACTTGATATAAAATTATTTTTATGCAGGGTAACAGATATTACAGCCTTAGTTTATCAGAGAATGTACCGGAAAATAACTGCAAGAAAAGTAAATAGATAGGGTTCCCCCCCCTTTTAAAATTACTGCTAAATACACCAGAAAATTGACACAAAACCAAATCCAAGGACTTATATAGACATTACCGTTCAATTTTAGTTATAAGAGTGAAAAAATATTTAAAAACTTGTTATACAGTCCATTTTTTATTTTCTTGATGAAATGGTAACTGGATATCTAATCAGAGTTTGTTTTTATGTTGGGGCAGTTAGGAGGAATTGAATGTTGATCCTAGTCACTTGTATACTTCCATGGTAAAACTAGCTTTAGTTCATTTATCGCTTATGTGTATTAGGAAAACTTACTATAGGGAAGAATTATGTTTACATACAGATACAAAAAGTTTAAACTCATGTCTTACGAACATAGGCTGATGAAGGAGGGTTGGGATGAGAAACGATATCTTGATAACTACAGAAATGAGGAAAGGAAGCAGTGGGTACAGAGAACTTTGTCCTGCTCAGAGATCCCCAAAGAATCCCCGTCCCCTCCCCCTACCTCCTGCCAGAATGTTGGGTTTCAAAGAAGGAGCAGATTAACGGATATCAGGAGTAGTGTGGCCTGGGCTGAGAATAAGGATAACTTAGGCAAATTACGAGTTAATAGTACTGTCTGAATCATTACAGTCTGCCTACATGGCATATCTGTGAAGGTAAAGGGAACAAACTCAAGGAACATTAGAGCTTCAGCTGTTGGAAGGAAGTCATATGGTAAGGGAACTACCAAAGGCCAAGACCAAATAGAAATTCAGCCCCAAAGTCTCAGCAGCCACCCCTTAGTGAGCCAGCCTAGACGTGGAGCTGATGTCTGACTCTCCGGTTCTCAGCATGCCTGGGAGAGCTATTGCTGTGGGACATAGGCCACACAGCATCAACTGACTCACAATGGCATTGTCAATGCTAGCCTCTTCGAGAAACTCTTCCTCTATATTGCCTTCACTATGGAAGAACCAAAGGGCCTTGAAAGAGGGTAAGATAAAGTTTCAGACTTGGGCTCAGCAAAAGAGGGACTTCAGGCTGGGACCAGAGCCAAAAACTACATGTGTTACATTGGGGATTGTGTTGCTGTTGGTGATTTTCCTGCCAGGCTTGTACTGTGACCCTGGATCTGTGTATTACTCTTCTTACGAAACAGTCATCCCCAAGAGTCTGACAGTCAAGGGAAGGGAAGACCCAGGGGAAAAGGCATCCTATACACTATTAATGCAGGGCCAGAAGCAGGTGATTCAACTGAAGGTGAAGAGAGACTATTTTGTGAATAACTTTCCAGTCTTCAGCTACCACAATGGGGTCCTGGGGCAAGAAGTGCCTTTCATCTCTCATGACTGTCACTACGAAGGCTACATAGAAGGAGTCCCGGGTTCTTTTGTTTCCCTCAACACCTGTTCAGGCCTCAGGGGCATCCTGATTAAGGAGGGGAAACCCTATGGCATTGAGCCCACGGACACCTCAGAACGGTTTGAACATGTGTTGTACACCATGGCACCCCAAGCTCGAGTGTCCTGCAGCGTCACTTCCAGAGGCAGCCAAGTGGTGTCCACCAGCCGGCAACAAGGGAGCAGGAAGCCTCGCAGTCTACAGGCACTGCCGTCCTTTTGGTCACACACCAAGTACGTGGAGATGTTTGTCGTGGTCAGCAACCTGCGCTTCCAGATGTGGGGCAGTAACGTCGATGAGACGGTCCAGAGAGTAATGGACATCACCGCTCTGGCCAACATCTTCACGCGGGGCATAAACACCCAGGTGGTGCTGGCTGGAATGGAGATCTGGACCGAGGGGGACCTCATAGAAGTCCCAGCGGACTTGCGAGTTACACTGAGGAATTTCAATAGCTGGAGACAGGAGAAGCTCTTCCCCCGGGTGAAGCACGATGTTGCCCACATGATCGTGGGACATCATCCTGAAGACGATGTGGGACAGGCATTTCTCAATGGTGCCTGTTCAAGAGGCTTTGCAGCCGCTGTTGAATCCTTCCACCATGAAGACGTCCTCCTGTTTGCGGCGCTCATGGCCCATGAGCTTGGGCACAACTTGGGTATTCAGCACGACCACTCGGCCTGCACTTGTAAAGATAAACGCTTTTGCCTCATGCGTGAAAACATCACTAAAGAAAGTGGCTTCAGCAACTGCAGCTCTGACCACTTCTACCAGTTCCTCCGGGAACACAAAGGGGCCTGCCTGTTTAACAAGCCCCGGCCCCAAGGTCGCCTGCGTAGGCAAGCCACGTGTGGAAACGGTGTGTTGGAGGTGAATGAGGAGTGTGACTGTGGACCTGACTGTGGTAATAACCCGTGCTGTGACGAAACATGTAGGCTGAATGAGCGTGCACAGTGTAGTGACGGACTGTGCTGTTTTAATTGCCAGTGGAGACGTAAGGGTTTCATGTGTCGTTCTGCTCTTGGAGAGTGTGACCTCCCAGAGTATTGTGATGGTACCTCTGGAGAATGTCCCAGGGATCACTATAAGCAAGATGGTACATCGTGTGATATAATTCACTATTGTTTTATGGGCCGGTGCAAGAACCCTGATACTCAGTGCATGGATATATATGGGTCACCTGCAAGGTCAGCCCCAGAAGACTGTTATATTTCCATGAACACGAAAGGGAACCGGTTTGGAAACTGTGGCTATCCTACTGCTGCTGTCCCTAGATATGTTAAGTGCACTGATGAGAATATATTTTGTGGGAAACTTATATGTACAAATATTACACGGGTACCACCAATCAAACCTCACCATACTCTGATTCAGGTAGCTCACAATGATGACTGGTGCTGGAGCATGGATGTCTATAACATTACTGATATCCCTGATGATGGAGATGTGGACACGGGTACCCTTTGTGCCCCAAACAAAATCTGTGTGAATTACTCCTGCATTGATCATGCTGTGCTTAAGTATGATTGTGAACCTCAAGAAATGTGTAATGGGAGAGGAGTCTGCAACAATTTAAGGCACTGCCATTGTGAGGAGGGCTATGCACCCCCTGACTGCAAAGTTTCAGGAAATGGGGGTAGTGTGGACAGTGGTCCCCCCGGCAAGCCAGATGATGGAAATGTAAGTGAAGATGAAACTAGAGGTCTTAGTTTTCATCGTGGTAATTTTGGCAGGGTCAGTGAGAATAAATTTGAAAGCAAAAGTCTTGGCAATCTATTGTACATATTTCCCTTACTTCTTGTGGCAATATTTTTAAGTCTGATTATTGGTGCCAGTGTTGGGGCTGGAAAGGAGATATCACAGTGCTCACAAGGGACTCTAGAAGATACTGAAGAAGAAGCTGTACAAGAAAAGGAAGGAGGCCAAGTAGAAGAAGAAGTAGAGGTAAGAAATAAGTAGTGATAGGAAGAAGTCTAATATAGCCAATACCCAAACACTAGCTGGAATGGAGGTTCAGTGGAGCAAATATGAAGTGCACACCAATGGCAGCAGTGGCCCTAATAGGGACTCTACAGTCTTATGAAATGTACAACTGTGCAAGGAAGGGCTTTTCTTCTTCAATGTACTCATTGATTATGTATACATAGATGAAATCATTTATAAAAATATTTTAATATTTCATTATCATATTTTATGAAACATTTATTTAAATTAAAATTCTCTCATGAAACTTTCAGCTCAATATTTTGTCTTCAGTAGGTCCAGTTTTGACATAACTGTTTTTTAGGGAATGTCATCTTGCATCGACTGTGTTGGATATACAGTATTAAATGTTTATATCTATTAGGGTCCAGGTTTTTCACCCCACTTAAAACTACACATTACATTAGGAAAGTAGTTTCTATGTTTGTTGTTCTAATTGCTCTGTGAAGTGTATCCATGAAATGAAAAGATTTAAATTAAAAAGTAAATAAATACCTGTTTTCAAACAATATCACTTTGGGCTTCATGTGGCCTATTACCTGGGTCTCCTTCCATTTTGTGGTTCTCCATTCAATTCATGGCAGTATGATCACCCTGGTTCTGGGTGACAAGGGTGGGCAACCTGGCCAAGAGGTGATCTTGACTAGTGCTCATTTTACTTTCTTCTATTTTCTACTTTTTTAAAAAAAGATTTTATTTATTTATTTGACAGATAGAGATTACAAGTAGGCAGAGAGGCAGGCAGAGAGAGAGAGCAGGAAGCATGCTCCCTGCCGAGCAGAGAACCCAATGCGGGGCTTGATCTCAGGACGCTGGGATCATGACCTGAGCTGAAGGCAAAGGCTTTAACCCACTAAGCCACCCAGGTGCCCCCATTTTCAACTTTTTTGATTCTGTTTAATTTTCAATTCTTTTAAGTTAATATACTGTTGAGTGACTGTCTAAAGGACCAGAGCTTTGGAGGGTAGTTAATTATAAAGAGCAGAAGTACCTATATAAAAACATGACCCATTCAGAACGAGACACTGTGCTAAACACTTTACATTTTTTGTCTTAATTTTATCCTACCTCCCGTCCTATAAGACCTCCCAAATTCTGCACGAGGAAACAGACCCTGAAGAGTTCTATTCTAGACCTAGCAACCTTTGTTCCGCCCAACATCCAACTGAATCTACATTCCCCACTGTCTCATGAGCCCTTCCTTGAGTACAAAGAAGTGACCAGAAAGACGGTCAATATGTCCTTTAAGTGCCCAGATAATGGTTTCTTCCTCAGTTACTCTAACGAAACAAAAGCCTTACAGAGGGATGCCTTACTGCTATCATGAACCTACCACACTGTGTAATCATTACCGGTGAAAGTGCCTTTCCCCGATTATACCTTGACATCATGGAGCGGCAGGCTTATTTTATTCAGCTCTGAGGTCCCAGCTCATTGTGGGTGCTCAGTAAATGTTGACCAAATGAAGGACTTAACCAGAGGGAACCTTAAAATAGGAGGGTAACTTCTATGGATGCCACTTGCCAAAACCTTGCTTGGGTGCAGTGTTGCTACAGGTTGAGCGTTTTGAGTCTCAGAGATGTTCCTGAGCATCAGTCCCTGACAATACATTTGATACATGAATTCCTCTCCTAACTGCCTGACCTACATGAGCAGAAAAGAACAGAAAAAAGAATGGCAAGACTTGGGTGCCTGGGTGGCTCAGTGGGTTAAGCCTCTGCCTTCAGCTCAGGTCATGATCTCAGGGTCCTGGGATCGAGCCCCGCATCGGGCTCTCTGCTCAGCAGGGAGACTGCTTCCTCCTCTCTCTCTCTGCCTGCCTCTCTGCCTACTTGTCAAATAAATTAAAATTAAATAAATTTAATTTAGTAAATTAAATTTATTTAATTTATTTAATTTAATTAAAATAAATTAAAAAAAAAAGAGAGAGAGAGAATGGGAAGACCTGACTTCTGCCTTAAAGAAGCTTATATTAATTACTTTTGCTGGAACAAAACTAAACTTTTTTAAGGGCAAAAATCCAAACTCAGGACTTCAGTTATGTAAGATTCCAGGTCATGAGAGTTATTGGTAGCCAAATCTCAAAGTGTTTTATGCCAGAAGGTCAGGATGCATGGTGAAAACACCCCTAGACCACCATCTAATTAGAACACTAAACGGTGGTCAGCCAAGAGCTGTGATGATAAGGGTAAAACTGGGTAAGTTTACCCACATGTAAACCTGTGCTTAGAGACTTTGAAAAAGATGTGGAGGATTTCTAGTAAGAAGCACTTCAGTGGAGAACAGAAGGGGTGACCTTCCTAACTGCACATGTGATGGGGACTATGCCAAAAGCTAAAAGCATCACATAGTTTTACTTCTCAAGTATAAGGGAATCATGATTTAGGTAGGGGGTAATTATGCTTAGCTATTTAATAGCATTCTTTAAAGACCAAAAGTCAGATAGATAATTGGAATCAATCATTAAAACTTATCTAAAACTTCACAACAAGGGGCGCCTGGGTGGCTCAGTCAGTTAAGCATCTGCCTTTGGCACAGGTCATGATCTTGGGGTCCTGAGATACCACCAGCCTTAGGGAGCACAGAGAGGACAGTAGCTTCCCTGGGTGGCTACTGTCCTCTCTGTGCTCCCTAAGGCTGGTGGAGACTGAAGCCCTTTCCTTGCTTCCCCAAAGCATAGCCAAGTCCAGGCTCTAGACTTTTATCCAGACTTAGAGGGAACAAAGAGAAACTACAATGTGAAAAAGAATGCATTTGGATGTGGCCAATATTAATGTTCCTGGAGTCCAGAGGTCATGCCCCTACCTGGGAGACTTGGATACATCCTCTCTTTCCTTGAAAGTCCCCAACCTGACATCTTTCCTTGTCCATGTAGGAGTACTATTTTGAGGAATGTCCTCAAAACTTGGAGCCAGACACCAACCTCTCCTCTGGGGCTCAGTTGAAGGAAAAATAAAAGATTTACATTAAACACAGGTGACATTATCAATTTCACAGAGAAACAACTCTGCACTAACTAAAGTTCTGCACTTGTCTGCAAAATTCCTTTTTTTTTCCTTTTTTTAAAAAAGATTTTTATTTATTTGACAGATAGAGATCACAAGTAGGCAGAGAGGCAGGCAGAGAGAGAGGAGGAAGCAGGCTCCCTGCTGAGCAGAGAGCCTGATGTGGGGCTCCATCCCAGGACCCTGAGATCATGACCTGAGCTGAAGGCAGAGGCTTTAACACACTGAGCCACCCAGGTGCCCATTGTCTGCAAAATTTCTTGACATGGTATTAAAAATTAAAATAAAAACTTTCAGTGCTGAGAAACTTAATGTCAGAACAGAATTTTGGTGTTTCCTTTGGGCAAACATGCTCACTGAAATGTTTTCTCAAAACCAAGAGCAGACTTCCTCCAAGAATGTTTGCAAAATGTTGACTCTTTAAAATTAATATTCTCCCTGCTTCTGAACATTAAGCTGTAAAACTTTTTGGACCAGGGAAGAAGTGGGTGGGGGGAGGTCCAATATGGCTTTTGTTATTTAATAAAATCATAGCAGTCTTACCTAAGGAGGTCACGCTACAATGAAACATATGAGGATAACAAAGGCATTGGATTAGTTTGTGAAGGACAAACCCACACAACTCTTCTCACAGTTAGAAAACAATTTTCTAAATATTTACAAAGGAAACCGGAGGTGGAATCATGACTGATGAAGTGTTTGCAAACCAATGCCCATTTTACTGCTGAAAACTACCTAACCAGGCTCTCTAATGACCTTCCCAATGTTGTTTGGACACTAATCTTGTCACCACAGTCTGGAGTTCAGGAATGTCCACTGCTCTCTCATTATCTAGAGCAGACGACATAAACTTGGTGTGGCTTTAAAGGACTCTGACAACTGGGTCCTCCTGTCCACTTCTAGCCATTGTCTCCTGTGACTTGAAAACAAGCATGTCCTCATTCCTCCTATCAGTTTGTCTGACAGGAAGGACCTGTGTCCTCACTACATGACATGGCCACTTTCCGCTCTGGGCTTTTGATTCCATCAAATGACCTTACTCTTCCCTACCCTCACTTGGTTCAACCTTTGCCCCTCCAGGGAGGCTCTTTGAAACTGCTCCAGCATACCTCTCTCTACTTTTCTCAAGGAAACATGGATTCTCTTTGAGGATACTCATGGAAAGTCCTATAGGGCAGTCAGTCTGAAACAGACCATCAAGTGATTGCTTTCTATCGAACAGGGGAGGATCCATCCATCCTTGTCCTTGAGTGAAATCTCCAGTTAGGACTTTGTGAGAAATGTGTTTACTCACGCAACATATTCTCAGAATCTCAAATTCTAGAGCTACTCATGTGTTAGTGGAGAAATGGAAAGGAAGCCTTGCAAGACACAAAAGGAAAGAGCTCCAAAACCACAACCTTTCTCTTAATAATGCATTTGCAGTCACCTAATAATCACGAGCTGGATGTGAGTGCAGACCATTTCCCACCGTGAAAAACAGAAATAAAAAAGGCACAGTGTAGGTACCAGAGGACAGGAAAGAAGGCTCTCCCTCACACCATCCACTGACCCCTTATCCAACCAGGGCCTTCCTTTATGGTTTCACAGGTAAGTTAGGTCATCAGAAAAATACAGAAATGTAAACAAGATGCCAAATAAAGCAAAGGCTACCAATTAGTTCTATGCTTTGTAAAAATCAGACTGGACCCCAACTTTGAAATAACTGATGTGTCATGGTTTAAGGAGAGCCTACAACCAGGAATCTCTTTATAAAACTGTTGCAACAAAGTACCAGTACATCAGATCCCCCAACTATTCAGAGTCTCTACTGTAGTACTTATATTTTATGTAACAATGCACCTAAAAAAAGAAACTATTCCTTTTATGCATTATTTCTTTCCAAAACACATACAATTTTTAATCATCTTTATTGTCACATTAGCTGTTTTTATGACCCATGTCAACATTAGTGGTGTTTTACAAAACAAT